GCATGCTAACAGACTCAACACAGGAAAATATTCTCAGGAACACCCTCTGCCAAATGAAATAAATTTTTTTCCACAAGAAGCATGTTCCTTGCTGTTTTTGGACTATTACCCTCATGTCACCTGTAGTTCCTGAGTTATGACGACCACACCAAGTTCTGAGAAGGCCCCATTGGTAAAACACCCGTCTCTGACCACACTGCCTGACCACAAAGAACCAGTGATTGACTAACAAAAGGGAAGGGAGTAGTTTTAGCAATTTAGAGAAACCACCTCACAAACACTTCTAAAACCAGATCGAGTAACTAACTGATGAGTCCTTTTTCTGGTAGAATAGTGGTCTTCACACTAGACTTGGTTATCTGAAAATGAATACGTTTTTTTTAACCACCAGTGCATCTCACGGCTGCCCACAGCATGTTTACTGTTACAGAAGCAGGGATGCGGCGTCCCTAGGGTCTGATCCTAATTCAGAAACAAAGGCAAGGCTCCTTCCCCGATTACTTGTTCAATCCCATCTTCCTCTCGTATCCAAAGAGCAAGTCTCAAGTGTGCTGGTACAGAAAGGTCATCTCATTCATTTCAAAATAGAAAAAAATGCATATGTGAAGAAAGAAAGGAGAAACTATGAAAGAGCAAAGAGTTGGTAAAAATCACCTTCTAAGTAGAAAACCTCTTCAAGGGTCGTAACTTCTAAAGTATCTGAAGGGGATGAAGAATGATTAATCTCCTCTTGGTCATTGGGGGGTAATTACCTCTAAAGTTTCTAAATTCAACTCTAAAAGCATTTCATTAAAAGGAAACTTTCCCTACCACACAACATTGGGGGAGAATGAAAACGTCTGTGATGTTTTGGTGTCCTCGGTCTGGCCTTGGGTTCTGACCTGCCCAGAATTCCCTCCCAGCCCAAGCCATTTTGGGTTAGTAAATGACTGTGGCCACTGCCGGCTGGGTGGAGCTTTGAGCAGATGCATTGGGAAGGCCGGTCTTGGGGAATTGTGCAGGGGCAAGGTGGCAGATTTCTGATCTGTAGTTTGCATTGATCTTACATTTAGACACAGATTCAGAAGAACAGACACTCCCTTTTCCAGTGCCTTCGGAAAGATTGCCGCTCCGTAGAATGAGTCCTTTCTCCTCCACCCTTAATCTACAGCCCAGCTTCCCTGGGAGATCCTACTTTGATTTCCGATCCTCACCCCACCAGCTGAGCTTGCATTCCTCCTTACAGTCTCTCAATGCACCGGGTGAGCTGAGCTCGTCTGACCTTTCCCCTTGATCTCTGTGCCTTGAAGGCATCTCTGAAGTACCTGTTTTGTTTTTGCCATTCATGTGCGTGGAGATGGCCGATGAGCTCGTCTCTGTTTGTGGCCTGCTTCGACATGAGGGGCATCTGGGTGATGGAGCTTTGTGGCATTCTTGTTTGTGTGCTGTGAGGACTGACCCTTGAGTTGTGGTCAATGTACAATGGCATTGGAAAGTGATGAGTGAAGTTGTTCTTTTTGCACAAGCTGGTACCGCCATGGATGGCCTGCTCTGTCATCACACGCAGTGGCACAGCACGGCTCAGGCGCTGGCTGAGTGGAAGCCTTAATTTGGAGGTTTGCAACCCTGCTGTATCCAGGAAACCAGCTGTGTCTGGGGGACTGGATCAGTGCATCCAGCCTGGAGTGGTCTGATTAAACATAGACTCAAGAGATCTTTATTGAAAAAATAAAAGTCAAAACACACCAATAGCCGAATGCATCATACAAAGAAGGCAAAACAGAGGGCAGAAAGTAAAAAAAAAAAATCTGCAAAAGACTGTGCTCATTGGTAGGACAGTTGAGTTCAAGGCTGGGATTTTTTTTCCCAAGCAAAAGGGAGGCACCACCACTAGCTGAATTAGAAACCCTTAACTAGCTTAAGGCCCAGAGATCTGAGTTTCCACAGCCACGTGGCTTATGACAGGGCTCTAGGCCGATTTCAGGGAAGCTAGACTTGGGTTACCATGCAGTGAACTGTCTAGCAAATAGATCCTGCAATGTCTACGATGCAGACTACTTGATCTCTTCAGGACTATATTGTAATCATGGGTACACGTGATGCACGTTTCACATTCCCAAGGGGTCCTTTTGTTTTGTATTTTTTATTCTTTTTGCTCATCCCACATCTTGGAATGAAGAAGACCACAGCATGACAGTGCAAAAAGGATGCAGAGACTTCAAGCTCTCTTTAAAATGACATGTTTCTTTGTGCTTTTACGTTTCTTATTGTTTTTCTGTGCACTACTGGCTTTCAGACATGCTTTGCTATGGAATTCTTTTCCCTGGTGTCTAATGTACTGAAATATTGTAAGAGTCTTTGTAATGTATACTGTCTCAAAAATAAAATGAAATGTGGGTTTGGGGATATTTGATGGCGGTGTTTGACAGCACTGTTCTAGTTGTATCGTTGAATCCTGAATGTATGATGGTGTGTTTACAGTGGTGTAAAACATTTTCAGAAAACTTGTTTTGAAAAAGACTTGCAGAAGGCATGATTCATTTAAACATTTTAAAAGCCCTGTTGATATTCTACAAATTTATTTCCAAAGCTGGATATGAGATTCAGTTTAAAAACTTCATGTGTTCTCAGGAGAAAATGATTCTTCTGTGTGGGATGTGTTCCACAGTAAAATAAAGTAACCAAAAGTAAGGTCAGAATCTTTAAATTGTGCTTTTAACTCAATCATTTGTCCCTTCTAAGTTGCTTTCTTAATTCTGAAATTTCCTTAATTCAGTGTATTATCCTTCAGTTGTTTTAGAAATTAGCATATTAGATTTTTAGGGAGTTGGAAAGAAATTAAATGATCCTTCTTAGAAGCTACCCTAATGCTCATCAAAAACACACTCTTTGGAGCAGTCCCTGGCACCGGTTGAGACCATGGTTCTCATGTCTTTGAACATTTTAAGACAAGGCTGTTTCCTCCACCCCCAATGGACCTGCTCATGGGGCAGGTAGGGCATCCAAAACTTAAGGAAAGGGGGTGGTTGGGAAAGTCCCACCGGTGATTCTAATGTGTCTCTGAGACCACTCACACCTCCACCGTGCCCCGCCCCTCCTCTCCCTTAGGTGAGATGGATGGATGTCACAAAACAATCTAAGAAGGAGATGGGGTGATTTTTTTATTACATTTGATTCATTGCCATTATTAACAATGATTAGATTATCTATCACCATATAGATTACATTTCATGTTTAGTTATGTTTATATAAAATTTAACTTGGGCCCAAGTCACAACAAAGGCCTAACCTGAGTCAGAAGTACAAGAAATATCGACGTACAGTGGAGTTTTATCAACACCCAGTGTTTTTTTCCAAATCCAATTAGATGAATTGTTCTCATTTTTAAACAGTAAGCCTTCTTAATGTGGAAACCCTAGTGGGGAAAGTTAGATTTGGGATGATGAAAATTTAAGCTGTACGATTTAGAATCAATTGGAGGAGGACTTATTAAATGGAAAAAATATGTACTTTTTATTTCAAAAAAGCAGAGAAGAAATTTTTACTCAAAGTAAACTAACATAAAAAGGGCTTTGGCTTTTCATGAATCAGGCCCCTGGTGAGTCTGTTTAGCTGGTGCTTTCTAAGTGTCTACAAACAGTTTTTATCCACCTGATTGTTGTTTCATAGCTTTGATGTGTAGTATCTCTTTATAGGATGCAATTTTGAGCCACAGTCTGCACCTTACACTCAATTAGGCAAGTATACCTACTGTAATTGTTATCTTTTACTTATGTGATTGGTATGCTCAATTTCCTTCACAAAATAAATGGCAGTAGCTTATTTTATGTCAATAAAATTGTCTAATTGTCATCCAAATCCAGTTATAACGTCTTCTCAAATACTTAAAAGCATGGAAAAGATACCTGTATTTTAATTTTATACCTCAAAGAAGATGACTTTTTGGACCAGTGTTCTTAGACATCAGTGCAAAGCACTCTTTATGAGCATGTGGGACAAGGGGCAGTCTGACCAACTGCTGTAGTGTTTGCAGTATTTTAAATGGAGCCCTTTCTTGGTACTAGCCTATTAAGAGAGCCATATTTTCTTATCAATGTCAATTTTGCTTCCTATTTCTCTCTCCCATGCCTTTCACTTGGAATGACAACAGTTGACATTAAAAAGCTGTTGGCAGGTATGAAATAACCTTATTCTGTTACAAGTAGAAAGACTGAAGTGCATGTGAGGTGACTCACAGGTTCTGTAAATCAGCAGTGACATCTCTCCCAAGTGTGTTATTGGCAGGCAGCCTTTAGAGCTCAGGGCAGAACAAGGAGTACAAATACATCCATCTGCGCTTAATGTCCAACATACCTACTGCTCCGGCAAAACGTCATACATGTTAGTGTTAGGAGTAACATACAAACTGTATTTTTATCTTATGAAGGAAACAGCCTACCTACCTTATGTCCAAAGTCACAATCACTCATGCAAATACGTTTATATTGCAGATAGCTTCGCAGCTTTTTTGACCTTTCGCTAGCACTGAGGACATTTTCCAAACGACTAGATTTTAGCACTTCTGCGGAAGGACTTCCTGGTTTCACAGTGTGTTTTATCCCTCCTCCATCTAGGACTCTAGATCCTAGCCTCCCGCCTCAGGGTCACACAGGCACCTTAGCACATCCCTCTCCCTTTATGTCTCTGGTGTACTGTCTGCCAGTCACCGGGTGAGGGGACTTGCACCTTCCAAACTCGATGCCACTTCACTCCCGGATCACCCGGTCGGGAGTGCAGTCTGAGCCAGGTAACCCCTGCTGAATCGGTCGTGTGTCCTCCGCCTGCTTCTGGGTGCAGAGAGTACCAGCTCCCAGGATGTGGCCCTGTCTGCTCACTCACGGCCCCTTCTGGCCCTGGACGCCTCCCTCCTGCATGGCAGCATGAAAATGGGACACGGCACTCCTCAGCCGCCCGGGAGTCTGTGATGGCGTCGGGTTCATTGGGTCTGTCTTACTAACCCCACTCCCTTCTGTTGTCCCCAGTGGCCTGGTTTGCTTTTGACCCTGGCTCAGCACACTCTGACATCATCTTCTCCAATGACAACCTGACCGTGACCTGTAGTAGCTACGATGACCGAGTGGTGCTGGGGAAGACCGGCTTCTCCAAGGGTGTCCACTATTGGGAGCTAACTGTGGATCGTTACGATAACCACCCCGACCCCGCCTTCGGTGTGGCTCGCATCGACGTGATGAAGGATGTGATGTTGGGAAAGGACGACAAAGCTTGGGCAATGTATGTGGACAATAACCGGAGCTGGTTCATGCACAACAACTCGCACACCAACAGGTACCCTGCAGCCCCCAAACCAAGCCTTCTTCATGTTGGCTTCTGGTAAAGAATAAGAGCCCAAGTTCAAAGGCCTCCTAAACAGACAACATTGGGGAAGTTGAGCAGGTGGTCTTCATCAAGTAGCACAGGAGTTCTACTGCTGTTAACTGAGTGCATCCTAATGGGTGTTTTATTTTTGTTTATTTGTTCTTTGCATAATAGCAGAGGCATGAGCTCTTCCCTAGGCCCTTCACTGTAACCGTCCACCCCTGGCCGGAAACTCAGAATCCGCATGCATATCCATTACAGGAAAACACTTCAGGATTCTAAAATCTAGCCTTACAACTTACAGAAAAGCAGTTTTGGACAAGCTAATTTAGTTTTTCTAAACCTCAATTTTTTAATCCACAAAATTAGGATAATAATATTTTCCCATGCAGGAGTATTCCCAATTAAACAGAATATGCAAAAATGCCTCACATGAGAGGCACCTGGAAACAGAAGCCATTGTTCTTCTTCTTATGATTATTTTCAATACCACTGCTCAGAATAGAAGCCATCTAATAAACTGAATCTCATGGATGCCAATCTGGATGGCTTTGTACTTGAAGAACTCTCGTAATTATGCAGACTCAGAGCACCTGGTTTGCGGGGGGAAGAGAACACAGTGATCTGCTTGGGTTTTTCTCTACCACCAAAATGTTAGCAGTTATAACTTAACCCATGCTATCGTAGTTTCCCGAGAGTTCCTTTTGTGTTTGGTTTGTGTTTTCTTCCTCAAATGTATCCTTCACAAATTTCCTAGATGGATAAGGGTCTTTCATGGACCCTGGTCCTGATCCTCAGTGGTTTCCCCAGGATACCTTCTCCTTAGTGTCTCTGACCAAAAAAAAAAAAAGTCAGATCAAGAGGAAAGTGGGGAAGGCAGTGGTAGGATAGTGGGCTCCATTGTTTCAGCCTTTTCTGTATGCTCACTGCTGCCCCTTCTCTAGCTCGTAGGTCTCCTAAGGCCTCCGCTGTCTGTTTCCTTGGATGTTTTCTATACACCCCCATGCTGGTGTGTGTTACTCACGCTCACTCTAAGTGAGCACACCTACCATTTCAACCTGATATCAGACGTTACTAGGTGGATCAGTTATCTTCACTGATCTACATTTTTGGAACCCTCTGTAACTGGATCTCTGATTCCATCACAAATGCAACATGCTTACTTTTCCCCTTTAGCTTCTGTGTTTTGGAGTGAAGGAGTGAACAATGACACAAATGTCACACAATGCAGAGAAACACATTCTTAGAGATAAACACGTCTGCTTGCATGCAAACTGTATGTCACTTGTGCTGTCATTGTTGAAGGTATGAATTAACAAGGCACAATTTTCACATATAAACCTGTCTTTGAACAACTACGCATAGGCTGTATTTTGCATGCCTGAGGAAAAGAACAGCACTCTTAAATGTCTGTGCTCTGCTGAGATGAGGATGAAATTCAATATTGCTAGATCTCAAAGAGGGGGAAATGACAAATCTGATCATCAGTGCTCAATGGCTTTCGTGCAACCATCAACTGAAACATAAAACACAATTCATTGCAAAATGACATTCGAATACAGATTTTTTCAAATCAGCACATGTCCTGCAGTATAATTACGTTATAGGGGAGAATCCCCCTCTTTGATGTTGTCATTTTACAGAGCTTCCAACTTCTCAATGCAAACTCAATGTGTCAAAAATTACCATCTTTCTGGAATGAGCGTTTCTCTTTAATGGGTAGCCTAAGGCCCCAAATCCAACTTGTCATGCATATATTTAAGTTTGTCTTAAATTCTTCTTTATTTTGGTTTTTAAATTAAATCACTTTCAATTAAGTGATTTTTAACGCACACCCTTTGTGCAAAGTGTTGCAACATAGCGATGGGCAGACCTCTGACAGCCCAAAGGCGCCTTTCTTTCTTGATCTTTTCAAAGCTGTGTCTCAGTGGGGGTGACCCTGTATGAATGAGTTCACTCTCAGCAGCAGCAGAGCAGCATGGTTAAACCTAACATTCTCAACACGGGGCATGCCTCCCCTAAGGTAGTGACAATTGGTTTGGAGGGAGTAAGCAAAAATGTCCTATTCTTTTTACATATACAGCACGGATATGCATATGGCACATAAACGGGCACACAGTATATCTGTATATTAAAATGTTAGGTGAGGAGGAGTGATTAGGGAGGAGGGGGCTGTTTTAAAAGGCTCTTGGGACGGAGGAGATGCTGGTTTCGAACAAGTTGAGAAACACTGGTTTAACCATGCAAATGGGGAACTTTTAGAATGATGAAGGGTGAGTGAAATCAAATTGTTTTTTTCCCCACAGAACTGAGGGAGGGATCACAAAAGGGGCCACCATCGGGGTCCTCCTCGACTTAAATAGAAAAACCTTGACATTTTTTATCAACGACGAACAGCAAGGGCCCATAGCGTTCGAGAATGTGGAGGGCATGTTCTTCCCGGCAGTCAGCCTGAACAGGAACGTGCAGGTAAGCACTGTGCCCTCAAATGTAGAAGTGACTTCAGAGGCTGCCTGTGCACAGGTAAATCCACCACTGAGAAAGGGAAGCTCACTGTACAAGGTCCCGACCAAGACAGGCAGGAGAGGAGGAGGGGAAAGGATCAACACTGACAACCAACAGGTTTTTGAACCAGCCTAAGCTCCTCTGTTGTACTTGGACACAGTCTAGTTAACAGCCAGTGGGAAATGGAATTCTAGTCATGGTTTGCTAATGATTGTCCCTCTGAGCCCTGGTTTCTCATCTCTAGTAAAAGTGAAACCGTTGAGCCAACCAGCATGAGAACAAAGGACTTGCGCAGTTCCACGAGCACCTGAGAAAGGAAGGTGTGAAACTGAACTTAGCACCATTATCAGAAATTTCAAGCATCTTCTCTGCACTCTTATTCAATTCTGTGGGGACAGAAAACAGTCTCTGCCCAGTAGTTAGTTACTTCTGATTTATTGTGAATAGAAAAACAGTAGGTTCGTCTCATTCATTCATTTAACAAAATCTATTGAACACCCTTATTATGTGAGGCACTCTTATAAGTATTGTTTATCAGGGAAAACGAAACATAAAAATCTTGCCCCCCTTCAGCCCTGACATCGTAGTTGTAAGAAACAGACAACAAATGGGCACAAATGCCACATTAATTATATAGTGTGTTAGAAGGCAGTAAGTGAAAGGGAGGAAAGACTGAGGGTAGGGTAAGGGGGTCAAGAGTGCTGCGGGTGGGAGGGTGTAGCTGTCTTAAACGGGGTGATCAGCGTGGCTAGGCCTTGCAGTCACAGAGGGGCTGCGCGCTTTGAAGGGGTGAGGGGGCGAGCTATGTGCAGCTCTCCAAGCAAAGGGAACAAAAGCTTCTCAGGCATGAGGGGCCTCACACGGGCAAGGGAGGGCCAAGAGGCCATGACAAGAAGTAAATGGGGGTCGGGGAGTCAGTGGGAGAGACGACCAGAGCCCTGCAGGGAGGGCTGTGTCCTGCCAGCCCCTGCTGAGACTTGGGCTTTCATTTCCCTCTTGAGCTGGAGCCCTCCTTGTCAGCCATGAATCTCATGCAGCAAATGGCTACCTTGAGATAGTTAAGGCTTGAGAATCAAAACACTGCCGGTGATTTTTGCTCTATTCAGAACCACAGTCCAGGAGCTATTTTAAAAATCCATTGTTGTTTATCAGTATGTACAGTAAAAGTGACAGCAACCCAGTGACCTCTGCCCTCCTCTCCTCCTGCAACTAGTTGGGGTTTTCAGGGAGGCTGAAATCTAATCTATCAAGTTCAGCCTCTACAATGGAAGAAAGAAAACCATAAAATACTCTGGAACTAAGCCTTAGAAAAACCACATTAAAAGTTTTCCACATTTTTAGCTGCTCTGAGTATCCTTTTTTAAAGATTTTATTATTTATTTTTAGAGAGGGGGAAGGGAAAGAGAAAGAGAGGGAGAGAAACATCAGTGTGTGATTATTTCTCTAGCGCCCCCTACTGGGGAGCTGGCCCACAACCCAGGCATGTGCGCTGGCCGGGAATCAAACTCACGGCCCTTTGGTTTGCAGGCCAGCACTCAATATGCTGAGCCGCATTAGCCAGCCTTTAGATAAAGATTCTTGGGCTGGGGGAGATGTGGACAAGAACAAGAGAGATGACAGTATTGTGTGAAATGGTTCTTGTCCATTGAGGTATGAGGTTGGACAGAAATCAGTGAAATAGCATAAACGCTCATGTTTCTTTGTACCTGGCAATCAGCTATGCAATCCCTGATTTATCTTAATTGGGATAACTAGTGAACCCGTGATAAAGGAAGCGTCATCTGCTCCTCTGTTCTCTAACCACGGTCAGGCCAGCAGACTTTGCTACGCGGATCGGTGCCTAGGTCTTCAGTCATAAGGAACACAAGCTCCACAGAATCTTAAAATGAGAACTATATCATCAGTGTCTCCAGGATCTGAGAGCCCACCATGATGGCCAGGTTCTCAGCACAGGCAGAATTCTAGTAGAATTCTCTTTAATGGATTCTGGAATAGATGTTAAGTAAAAGTGAGTGACTCCCTTTTGAAGTAGGAACACACCCACTGTGCGGGGGAGGGGGGGGAAGGGGTGGAGGCTGAGGATGCAAAGTGGGGGCTGTGCCTGCAGTGCCTTCAGGACTCACAGTCTCTTTCCCCAGGTCACGCTTCACACTGGGCTCCCGGTCCCTGACTTCTACTCCAGCAGAGCGTCAATAGCCTAAGGGTGTGCTGTGGAGGCGCCAGCTGCCTGTTCTTACCTTCGCCTGAGAAGCAACAGCAAGAGGCTCGGCCAGAGCTTGGGGGGATGCCAGAGAGCTAGAAGGAGGGGGAGAAGGAGAAAAAAGCTGGTCCTCTATGGTCTTCACACCCCGCAGCTCCACCCCGTCCCCTCCCAACCTCTCCACTGCTGTAATGCCTGCATTTGCTTCCACCTTCTGCAATTCCAGCCAACAAAGGACCTAGCCAGCCCACCATGTCACTGGTTTCCACTCTCAGATTCTGCTTTTATCTAACATAATTTTTATGTCAGTGAGTAATATTTCATTTCCTTTTTTATCATGATCATGTTATTGGTGACACACGAAACTGGCACTGCCAAGAAAAAATTCTCCTAATGATTTTTTTCTTAAGCTTTCTGTCAGAGGTTGTAGGGAGAGGGAGGAAAGAACGAGCTGAATTTGGAGCCTGCAGTTTACCTCCTAGAGTACTCTTGCCATGTTCCGTCTCATGCAGGGCTAGCTCTGCATAGCTAATCTCTGGGAAGTGGACACAGTGAACGTAGCATTGAAAAGAGTTACTACTATCCACTGAAGCACAAAAATACAGCTAAACATAGCTACCCAAAGGTTCACAGTGGGTAGGTCATTAGGACAGCCGGGTCATTAGGACAGTCCAGAAACCCTGGTTATTGAGTGAAATTGGAAAGTCTCTAGACATAAGCAGACAAGGAGACTTACTAATTTGGTTCATGTATTTCATACAAATTTTTAACTGAGAGCCTGCTGCAGACCAGCCATTTCCCTGGACACTGGCGACACTGTGGTGAATACACAGGCGCAGTCTCTGTCCTCTTGGAGCTTATATTCTCCTAGGAGAACAAACCCAAAATAAAAGAATAGCAAATTGTTATGAACGAGAAAGGAAGTAAATGAGAGAGAGAGGCTCCTAGGCAAGATCTTTTAAATCTCCCAGAATGATGCTAGAAAACCACATATTTTGGCCATAGCAACAGAAACATAGCAATTTAATGTGTCTTTTCAGCTGTGCTATTTTAATTATGGTACCTGCTGGCATTCATCACAGAGCCCGTCTTTAGTAGAAATGATGTCAGCATTCTTATTTGTTACTGCTGCCACAATACTAAGCCTTAAAAATGAATATGGAAGAACAACAGTGGCCAAGAGGAGAGAGAACCCATCCTTAGTAATGGGAGATCTTAAGTTGCAGTCTACAACATTCACATTCTCAGGATAAACATACTTGTCTCCATGTGTACTCTCTGTGCCTGCTACAGATGAAAAATCCATCCACTCTGCTGCCATTTACAGCCCAACTTTCTGGAGTAGTTCAAATAATGTTTGGGAAAAAATGAAATTATAGGTCATCACTATGAGTGGTAGCAAACTAATAATGCTACCTACTTCTATATAGAGATAGACTTACGTGGAAGTTACCCTTCAGACTCTTTAGTTTGACATGGCATTTTAGGAAATGTAGAACCTGGAAAAGGGTTCTGAACTGTGGTCTAAATATTTGCCAGTGAGCCAAGAAATTCACTATGGCAGGGCCAGGGGTCGGACAAGAATAAATAGAAGCAGGATGCAAAAGCTAGCAAATTAAAGTTTGGCAAAAAGTAACATATGTAAATAGCTAATTATTTACTTTTGTGTTTACTTGATTTAGATTACTCCTGTTAGTTCCCATTTTTCCAGTTCTGTGTACCTAATTTATTGAATGGGTGCTATCCCGTTTGCGTCTGTCCTGGTTTTTCTTGGCTACAGAGAAACTCTTGCAGGGCAACACCAGTTTGATGTTTGATTCACTCTCCAATGAGACTCGATGGCTGGGCCGCTGTAGACTCATAGTTACTCCTGTTCTTTATGAAATTCATCCTGCTAATTAGATTTCTAGTGACTTGTAACTGTAGTTTACACAGAATTGCCGTTATAGATGCGTACAGCTGCTGTATAGAAAAAATGGATCTTTCTGGTGTGCCAATAAATGATTTTTATGAGAGAACATCATATGTCTCTTTAGAATATCTTGTTTTCTTGTCTATTTCAGCATGACAGGTCGCCTTTGTCAAAGCAACATCCCTTCAGTCAAGTGTAATTGGAAGGCCCCCCAGAGCTCATGAATCAAGCACATGTTACTCACCCCTTGTCCTAGGAGTTCTTAACTCCTCGGTCTTAACTTAGTGTGAAACATAGATGAGAGGCAGGTGGGGTCTCCCTACAACCACTGGGGATGAACTTGAACAAACCTGCTCCTAAAGAAGCCACAAACTGGCACTACAAAATAGGACTTTCAAACATCATTCCTTCAACATTTCTTTGAATATTTGTATGGCTAAATAATACAATTGTTTTTTGTACATTCAGGAGACTGAACAATATGATTGCTTTTAAACAATCATAACATTATTGATCGTCGTTACATTGTTAATACCCTCTTAAAATAAGCTGCCTTTGTTTCTTATTAAAAGAAAAACATCACCTATGTGCTCCCATGTATAATGTACACCCATGTTTTTGGCCCAAACTTTCAGAAAAAATTTCTTTTATTTTAATTCAATTTATTTATTTATTTATATCGAGATACTTGCTTTTTGTGTTATAAAGGAATTTTAGCATTTATTTTCTAACATACTATAGTATGAGAAATTTTATGTAACAGATAACTATAAAACACAAGAATAGATACAAGGTATTTCAGGTACTACCCCTGTATAATGTGCATCCTCATTTTTCTTTTAAAAAAATGGGCAAAAGCTGCACAATATACAGGGCAAAATGCAGCATGTGGTCTAGGTTATTAGCATACCTCGGAGTGGAGGGCCAGGCCGGTAGCAGCTGCTGCTCCGCCTCCATCCAGGTTTCTGCTCACTCCTCTTCCCTCGTCACCCCCCACCCCAGTGCTTTTTTCTTCTTCCTCTGTTGGTGCTGTCTCTCCTTCTCTTTTTTCTCTCTTCTGTTCACTCCCAAATGGAATACTTTGGCTGTTTTTTACTGTTCTCGTAGCCCTAAGGATAACGGAACTTCTGATTCCTGGTATTTTCTCAAAGGCATGATTAAGTGATTTATAAGAAATCATCCTATTTTCTGGAAATGACATCATTTTTCTCTGCCTCTAATGTGTACATTAATCTTTTGCCCATCTCTATTCAACACACTGATAAGAAAGCAGGGCTTCCTGTTGAATCAGGATTTCTGATTATGAATCAAGGAAACTATAGTAAATAAAGAAATTCCCAGATCACACTACCTTGTAATTTATATAACCATGCTAAAGACATCTGCATATATTTTTCAAATATATGTGCCAGTTACTTACTTCCACTGAGTTACTTAAGGAAGCTCTGACCTTACCAGGTCTGACACACATCACACAAAACTGAGGCTACCTAAATCTTGCCTTTATCTGAAGAACCAGCTTTTTGATGACACAGAATGTGTGGTATTGAATAAGAGTGAACAATGGAAGCATGTAATTAAATGCACAGTAACACCAGTCTGGCCCTTTGAATTTGTTATCTGCTCCACTCTGCCACAGCTGTGCTAAGAAAAGCTGCAGGTATAGAATTAGATATCACAGAATTAGAAAGTGGGAATGGTTGCATAACCTTGTGACTATAGGAAAAAATAAATCACTAAACTATACACTTTCAGAGGGTGAAGGGGCATGTTGAACATGACTAGGACTCTCCTTAACAGCCTCCCTCACACCACACCTATTAGCTGGTTCCTGTTTTGGCAAACCTGTCCTCTGGGGTAAAGCCCAACGCAAAGGGGTAGGGGTGCCAAGGACCTAGCGGCTGACCTCCTGACCCTACCTTTTCTTTCCCCGCCCACCTCCGCCCCACCCCCAGTCCCCTAACACCTCACCCCCACCCCCATCCCCCGCCCAGTGCAAGGGCTTTGCCTCACTTCCACTTCTCTCTGATAAGGATTATCCCTCATTTCATCTCTGCTTTTCTGACAGGGACTTTAACCTTCCCCTTTCCTGAGGGCCATTGTGGTGGGAAAGGTACGAAACCTGATTACGATACAATTAAGGAAGCAATTCAAAATAGCTTTTACATACTCCCTGTGGTTATGAATCTTGTTCCTGTATTTTTCTCTTCTCCCACCAGGTAGAAATAAACGCCATGAGATCTAAAAGGGATCATATTGTGGTTCATAATCTTACCCTTTCTTTCCCAATGCTTTTGCTAAAATTCTCTAATAGTTAATGAAGATAATAAAAATAATTTCAAGCCCTGGCTGGTGTAGCTCAGTGGATTGAGTGTGGGCCTACAAACCAGAGTATTGTGGTTCGATTCCCAGTCAGGGCACATGCCTGGATTGCAGGCCAGTTCCCAGCAGGGGACGCAAGAGAGGCCACCACACATTGATATTTCTCTCCCTCTCTCCTTCCCTTCCCCTCTAAAAATAAATAAATAAAATCTTTTTAAAAATTATCTCACTAATAAGTATGGCTGAATGTTACATTTTAATTACCTGTTTATCAACTTACAATCCATTTTTTGATGCATGACCATGATTTTTGATGTGTGAAAAAGAAAACTATAAAGCTAAAGAAACCACCTTGAAGAGAAGAACTTCATGAAGGTATAAACCAGTGCTTCTCAACCGTGGCTAAAATTCTCTACTGAGGGCAGTGTGTTCAACCATCTGTTCATATATGTTCTGCACAAAGAAAGGGCACAAATGAGATGAAGCAGGTAAAAGTGATTGCACAGTGAAGGTGCAAGACATGTCAGATGCAGGTGTAATGATTGTACCCTCTACACTCTGCATATCAGCAGCCCTGAGAGGAGTAACGCAGCAGCTGAGAGCCCAGTGTCGGGCAGTGACTGAACTCTGGTCCTGGCTCCCGGGGGTGACAGCTTGTGCCCTGGAGCAAGCGATGAACACTCAGGCACGGTTTCCACATCTCTAAAGTGGAGAGAAAAGAGAATTGTTTTTGAGGATCAAATCAAATAACACATGTAAGACACCCTGAACATAATGTGCCCGACCCATAATGAGTGCTATGGTACTTTATCTGCATACAATCTGTCAATGGCGCCGGATCCAGTCCCTCCCTTCTTTATCACTAATCCCATCTGAGTGTCGATAATGATGCTGACCGTCATCTCAGGAGACATTTGGGGAACTTGACAAAATGTTCCTTAAATTCTTCTGCAAACTTAATGAAAGAATGTTGGCAAGGAGATTGAGAAAATGCAGTGACTTGACTTGTAGGACACAGCAAACTATTTCACAGCCACAGTGATCAACATGGTGTATGTGTTACTAAAGTTAACCCCAAGGTAACTCAGAAATAGAGATTTCAGTAGATGTTGAATAAAGAGTCATAAGGGAGGAAATGAAAATTACTTTAAAACGTTGAAAAATATTATTCGAAAATTGGTTAAGTATTTGGAAAGGAAAACTATATCCTTAATCATATCATTTTCCAGATGTTAAGGTGTTAAACAAAATATTTAAAACTTTAATAAATCAGGAAAGAATGCAAATATTTCTTTGATCTTCTGAAGAAGGTTTACGTCACTGTAAATTACTTCATGCAATCGGCTTATCCATTTTATATCTTATCCACTTTATATCTTCTCTCCAACTTATATTTCACATTATAAACTCTTCTTTGTTATTCCTGCCTGCACAAGTTATCTGTTTTCTTCTTTAGTTCCCTGGACCCATCTTCATCCTGTCTACACCCAGTTCTGGTACTGTAGATTTATTGAATGTGTTGTTTATTGTTATGCTGCCATTTAACAAACTACTCTTAAGGGGAGATTGAGGTATTAAGTATAAACTACTCTGCACTCTGTTTTTGGACTGTATTTTCAACCTACCAGTTAATGAGTTTATAATGAACAAGTCCTCTGAGGTAAATGAGGACCCTAATGGTTCCTTCTGTAATGCGAATT